AGCCCATCCTGCTCAGGTTTCCCAAAACCCAAATCATTATGTAGAACCTCAGGGCTCTGCTACAGTGTTTGAAAACTTCATTGCTCTGTTATATATTCTCTGACAGTACTTCTAATGAATTGGAAGGCTACTGAATCTATATCCCCTGTGGCTCTTCAGACAGTGCCTGACACATAGTAGGAATTCATAATTTATTTACTAAAATTAAAGAAGGGAAATCCACAAAGGGAAAATGGATTAGCCTGTATCTATTACTAGTACTTATAAAAACCTCAGTATCCCAAAATGGAAGATCAGTAGTATTCGAGCCCAGTGGTATCACTACACTATTACATTCTAAAAAGAGACAATGCAACAAGTGCTTTTTGACCAGGAATGTGTTAGTGGTTACAGAATGTAACAAAACATAGATCAATAAATATTAATTTTCATCCATGTTCAAGGCACTGTTTGAAGGGCTGTGAAGGTTTCAAATATGGTAAAAATACAATCTCCCTCCTAAAGTATACTTAATTCTCTAATATGGGGCACAATTTACATAAATTGCTATAAAGGAAGCCAATATGTCAGACAATACATCAAAAAAATTTCAACATTTTTTAAGTTGGAAGTAGAGAAATTTTAAAAGATAACCACTCTAATAGATAGCCTCATTAAAAGGAAGTACTATTGAATGTAGAGAGAAATAATAGGTGCTGAAGGAAGGCAAAAGACTATGGAAACAAACACTTCACTCACTGCCTTGATCTTGAGAAAATAACCCTCTCTCCAAGAAGAAAGTAAGACGTATGAAGTACTTGGAGACAAGTTAAATGTGAAGTTTTTGCAATTGGTATGTTAGAAATACTGAGAATGGAGAGATCATTGTGAATTGTAGCAAAGGAACCTTTATGAAGTTGGCACTTGAGTTGATCCCCAAAGGATGGGTAGAACATTCCAGTTTAACCAGAACAACATGCACCAAAGCCCAGAGACCAACAGCATAGCTTCCATGAGGAAGAGGGAAGAAAGCAATCTGACTAGAGCAAAGGGTGTTTGCCGGGCATCAGGTTGGCTTAGTAGGGTGGAGCCAGATTATTAGTAGGTAAAGAGATGGGCCAAAGGCCATCCAAAGGCCTTTTTGCTAAAGGCCAAAATGAAGATAAGAGAGAAGCTGCAGTTATGACAGTACAACTCAGGTGTCCTCAAACTACGGCCGGCGGGCCACAGGTGGACCGCCTAGCACTTTTATCTGGCCCTCCAGGTGTTTTTGCCGCGCTGCCTGTCCTGCTTAGCATCTGACTTATCCCGGGCCCACAGTGCGCACTCTCCAACGGTCTGAGGGACAGTGAACTTGCCCCCTGTTTAAAAAGTTTGAGGACCCCTGGTACAACTCTTAAAGGAAACTATCATAGATATGCAACTCAATAAAGATGGGAAAGAAAAAAATGGATGAAATGACTCAGAAGATGGAGAAATAACTTGTACCAATCAACAGCGTTATTGTTGGGACAGGTATTCAATTTGAACAAGAAGAAAAGATGAAGTAAATATGAGAAAGATGATTTAAGATAAACACTTAGGTTTTCAGATGAAAATTACAATAACACAGTACTCTACTACTGGAAAGGTTACTCTGCAAAATTAGTTTAATTCCTAGGATGATCAATAGGATGTTTTGTTACATGGACATACTGGCTGGACAGCTGCCTAAAGAATTCTTTTAGAATGCAGTGGTGTCATCCTTGTAACTCAATGAAATCTCAAACTCCTGGGCTCCGGCGATCCTCCCACTTCAGCTTCCTGAGTAGCTGAGACTACAAGTGTGCCACCACACCCTAATTTTTCTATTTTTTTTTTTTAGAAATGGAGTCTTGCTCTTGCTCATGCTGGTCTTGAACTCCTAATCTCAAACAATCCTCCCTCCTTGGGCTCTCAAAGTGTTAAGATTACAGATGTGAGCCACCTGCGCCTGGCCTGCATAAGGAATTCTACATTATCACCTTTGGATAAAGCGCAATTCATCATCTCCCTCCTGAGAATGTACTGCACTTGAACTAACTTCAGAAGACCTGTAATATCTTTTTTTAAACACTTAGCTGTCATTGACCTGTTTATAACATTCTCATACACTATTTTCTCCACTCCAGCCCAATCAGAGTAATTGTGCTGACTATTATGAATGTGTTAGATCATGGCTGCAGTGCAGTTATTCAATCTGTTGTCCTGGTGTATATTTTGCACTTGAATATGTGAGGTAGAAAGGTTCAAGGGGGTTAGGAAAATGCAGAGCTCTTGTATGACTGACAGTGAACCTGGATTTCAGTATAGTATTTTCTTTCAAATTAAACTGATTTGGATTTAGGGACATAGCAAATTCCACAACATACTCTATATTTGTTTCTGTAAGATGGAATAATCAAGAATCAATGGGATTTTTATAGGAGTTAAGTCTGAAGAGGTGACAGGGTCTTTCAACTGGATTTAGTTTAAATAACCACTCCCTAATTGCATTAATTACTCTTTCAAGTCTGACAGACCTTCCTGACTCAGGAGATCAAACTATAGTACCAATATCCCTTCATAGATGAGCATGTGACTCTGTGCTAAGAACACTTTTTAAAACAACTGTTTAAAACACTTTTTCAGTTCATGTCAGGCTATTTCTACACTAATAATTTCAATAGTTTTTATCAATCCTATTTCAATAATTAGAAATAATTGATCCTACCTTGCCAGTAAGAAGAATGCTTTCATCTCTGGTAGAGGAGACAGTTTACATGCCTTTTCTAATTTTTGTAAAGATTCAATGTCATGTAAGCCCAAGGTCTTTCAGTCTCCAGCCAGCAGATACTCTGGGTTACAGCATTTAGTTGAATTAATTCTCAGGCAGCAGTGCTCTCATTCCCAGAATCTACAAAGCAAAGCATGTGGTGTTTTTCTTTAAAGGTGGTGTACCATAATTGCCTCTATAACCCTATAACTGATTTGGAGGCAAATTGAAGCAAGGGAGTTAGAAAGCTGCAGAATAGCAGCATTAAGAATGCTGGATTTGGAGTTAATTTTAGGTTTTATAACTTTTTTAGAAACTTTAGACAATTTACTCCTTTTATGTCTCATTTTCTAATTCTGGAAAAGGGAGTAATATCAGCGCCAAAGAATTTTATGAAGATTTAATGACAGTTTATGTAAAAACACAAGGACACAATCATATCTCTATTTTCTATGCACTAAGAGAACCACTTGTATTTTCTGAACAATTCAGAATTCATAATGTAACAAGAGAAAGGCCGCGCGGTGGCTCACGCCTGTAATCCTAGTACTCTGGGAAGTCGAGGTGGGTGGGCTGCCCGAGGTCACGAGTTCGAAACCAGCCTGAGCAAGAGCGAGACCCCGTCTCTACTATAGAAATAAAATTAATTGGCCAACTAATATATATAAAAAAAATTAGCCGGGCATGGTGGCACATGCCTGTAGTCCCAGCTACTTGGGAGGCTGAGGCAGGAGGACTGCTTGAGCTCAGGAGTTTGAGGTTGCTGTGAGCTAGGCTGACGCCACAGCACTCACTCTAGCCTGGACAACAAAGAGAGACTGTCTCAAAAAAAAAAAAAAAGGCAAAAACAAAAACAAAAGAAAATATTTGAAATTGGAGCCCCCAGGTAAAACTCAGGCAGTATGGCTTGAGGACTGAACTCTAATCTTTTGCTTTTGCTAAAAACTCTTTCCTAAGGAGGCCAGCTGGGTCAGGCTGACAAATGGTAAATTCCTACTAAGCAGCTTTTGTTAACCAAATAAAGCAGTGGTTTACTTCCCAACCTGATTCTGGTATGGCATTAACATCACCTAAAAAGATAGGAAGCCCCTGTCTTAACTCAGGCATCCGCAGATGCCTATATAATTTAAAATATCTTAACTCAAGCATCCTAGCAGATGCCTATCATAAATTTAAAATATCTTAACTCAGCATCCTAGCAGGCGCCTATTGTAAATTTAAATGTCCTCCTGTCTGGACCTCCCAGAGTGCCACACCTTATCTTAAAGTAAGCATATCCTTTCTGGTCTTCTAGATAAAGTCCAACTCTCTGAGCCAATTGCCAGCCAAAGAATCTTTTAACCCACCTATAACCTGTAAGCCGCTTCAGACGTCCCACCTTTTTGGGCAAAACCAATGTATGCTTCATGTATTGATTTATGACTTTGCCTATAACCCCTGTCTCTCTGAAAATGTATAAAACTGAACTGTAACCAGCCACAGCCAGCCCACTTGCTCAAGGCCTCTTGGCAAGTGGCTCCGGGTCATGGTCCTCAAATTTGGCTCAGAATAATCTCTTTAAAATTATTTTACAGAGTTTGGCTTTTTCCTTCGACAGGCTCAACAGGTTTTCTTTGCGCTAGCATTCTAATCTCGCTTGGGCTCACACTCCCAAATCTTCGGATTATTCTTAAATCACTCACATGAGGTACTTGCAAAATTCTCATGTTTTGCTCTCTGTCCTTCTTAGAAACTCACGCTCGTAACTATGATGTCCGTCTCCTAAGTGCTGTTTCAAAGACTCGGCGTCAAATGCGGGAACAGGAAAAACCCAACCAGAGTGCGCCTTCTAACACGCTGGCATAATGATCTGAAGGCATTCAAAGACAGGAGCGGTGACCTGGGCGGTGCCAGGCGGCGGCCGTCACCTGACAGGAGCGAGACTTCCAGCCGCCTAGCGAGCTTCCAGGGAAACCAGAGCACCGGCTCGCGTGAGGGCCGCGTGAGGCGCTCGCGTGAGGGGCCAGGCGGGCGCCAGGCGGAAGCGGGCTTCGGGAGAGGCCACGGGCCCCGGCGCGCTGGTGGAGGCAGCCCCCTGCAGGACGGCGCCTGCGCACAAGAAAGCCGGCGCAGAGTCTGTTTCCGGGGGCGGGGCGCCGTGGGCTTCGCAAGCGGTCTGGCTCCGTTTAGTTTCCGGTGTGGCGGACAGGGAAGTGCGGAAACGCGGGCGTTCTCAGGGCTGGTTTGCGACGCCGGCTGCAGGCGCAAGATGGACGGGGCGCGGCGGCGGCGCGGCGGGGAGAAGGGTCGGGATGGTCTCCGGGAGCGGCGAGGCTTGTTCGAGGCTGAGAGGCAGCAGCAGAACCACGAAGTGCAGCCTCAGTCCGGGGCAAACGGTCTGCCAAAACACTCCTACTGGCTGGATCTCTTCTTCTTCATCGTTATGGACTTGGTGTTGTTTATCTTTGTGTATCTGTTGCCATGGTGAGTATCCGCAATTGAAGTGGCGAGGGGCTTAGAGCCCATTTGGGGTGGGGGGTGGAGGCGGGGGAATTGGATCCAGCGAATTCACCTGTCCGAGATCACGTAGCCGGTGAGGCGTGGAGTCGGGTGGGTGGAAGAGTGGGAGGAAGGCCAGAACGAACTTGTCCTTCCTTGGCACCTCAGTGTGAGTTTCCAAAGAGGTGTGGAGGAAACTTCGCTTCGTATTTTCTTATGATTTGGAGTGATACCAGCTACACCACCGTGAAGGGACTGGAGAAGTTATTTAGCTCTTTGGCTCTTTATTTTTCTTTATCCAGCATTTGGAAGCAGAGCACAAAGGTATAGTGAACATTAAATGAGACAGTAGCGATTTATCCAAAAGCGGTTTGCATCTTGCCTGACAGTAGCAAGTGCTCAACTGAAGCTGTTGTTACTACTCATCTGTTTGACCTTGAGGACACCACACATGTATCTCAAACGTAACATGTTCCAAACTGAATTCTTTTTTTGTTTGTTTTAGGTGCGTAAATATTTAGAATTGTATGTCTTCTTGTTGAATTGTTCCCTTTACCATTATATAATGACCATCTTTGTCTTTCATTACTTTTGTTGATGTGAAGACCAAGTTATCTGATATGAGAATGCTATACCAGCTTTCTTTTGGTTTCCATTTGCATGGAATGTTTTCCATCCCTCATGAGCCTGAATGAGTCCTTGTGAGTTAAGTGTGTTTTCTGGAGACAGCAGATACTTGGCTTGTGTATATTTATCCATTCGGCCAGCCTTTTTCTCTTCAGCAGGCAGTTCAAGCCATTCACAGTTAGTGAAAGAGTTGATAAGTGGAGTGGATTTCTGTTCATCCCGTTGAGTAGAACTTAATGTTTTATGTCTTGAACCATTGTGGTATATGGCCTTTGGCCTTTAGTTTTTGGATGATTTTACACTGGCAAGTTGTCTACTGTGCTGATCTGTGTGTAACAGAGTTCTGAGTACTTCCTGGAGGTAAGGTCTTATCTTGATGAATTACCTCAGTGTTTGCTTGTCTCACAAGATTTTTATTTATCCTTCATATAAGAAACTTAGTTTTGTAGGATACAAAATTCTAGGCTGGGCATTATTCTGTTTTAGAAGATGGAGAATGGGGCCCCAGTTCCTTCTAGCTTGTAAGGTCTCAGCTGAGAAGTCTGCAGTTAGTCTGATGGGTTTTCCTTTGTAAGTGACCTGCTGCTTTTGTCTTACTGCTTGTAGGAGGACCTCTTTCATGTTTATTTTGGCCAGTCTGATGACTATGTGTTGTGGTGTTTTCCTCCTCTTTGCAGTGAATCTCCCAGGAGTCCTTTGAGATTCTTGTACCTAGATATCTAGATGTCTAGGAAGGCCAGGGAAATTTTCCTCCATTATTCCCTAAAATAGATTATCCAACCCCTATGTATTTTCTTTCATGTTAGGCCTCTTCACATAATCCCACATTTCTTATAGGCTTTGCTGTTTCCTCTTCTCTGCTCTATCTCTACGACTGACTTGTTGAATTGAAAGATACTGTCTTCAAGCTCTGAGAGTCCTTCTTCTGCTTGATCTAACTTATTCTTGAGGCTTTCCACTGTGTTTTGTAATTTCTTGAATAAATTTTTCATTTCCAGAAGTTCTGTTTAACATTTCAGTTTCTTTAGTGAATTTTTCATTCATTTCCTGCATTCTTTTGTGGTCTCTTGTGTTGGTGTTCCGATTCTTAGTAAATTTCATTGACGCTCCTTATGAGTCCATGTTTGAATTATCTTCATTTGTCAATTTATCAATGTTCTGATTTTGGTGGATCCATTTCTAGAGAGCTGTATTCCATTTTGGGGTGTCCTTTCACTTTGATCATTCATAGATCTGGAGTTTTGCTGATCTTTCTATCTGAGCAGCTATTGCTTCTTACTTTGATTTTTTGTTAGATAATGACTCACCAGTTTACTCTCTCTGACAGTAGGGGTTTATTGGGTGAGAATCCACACATCTTGATATGATGATCAGATAAGTGTAGTAAAGGAGCATCGCAAATTGACCTCCCTGTCAGTAGGTGGCCTTGCCGGGAGGAGGAACTGCAGTGTTGTTTTGGGTCCTGTAAGCAGCTCTGGTTGTCTTGGGGGCACTCAGTGCCCCAGGTGGTAGGTGGGGCCGTGACTTCCAGGTGTGGCCCTTTGTTTCCACGCTCAGCAGGGGCAGGTAGGGGAGTTAGGTAGGCGGGCTGGGTTGGGTGAGCCTGCCCTCAGGCATACAGATGCTTTTAGCAGGGGTAAAGGTCTCTGTTCCCACCACTTGGAACAAAAGCTGCCAGGGAGGGGCTTGAAGGCGCCCCACTCAACCAAAAGTATGGTGTGGGGTTGGGCTGAGACCTGCCATCTGTAGCAGGCCTCGCCCTTTCTACTCTCCCTATTCCATGGTTTCTCTGGCTTCTGCCAGCAGGCAGGACCAAGCCAGCTGAGCTGCCCTAACCTGTGATGCTGGTGGGGATTCCTTTCAGGATCCAGCCTATGCGGGAGTGTGGCCTCCCTTGGCGGAGGGCGACCCACTGTGAAGTCTTGACCCCGATCTTCCCCATGGAAGGTACCCACACCTCGTGAGTTTAAATTCACAAATATCCCCTTGTGCCCCTGGGCAAATGCAATCAAGACGTGGTGTGCATGATCTGGCCCGAGGGTCCATCCACGCTAGCCCCTGAGATCAAACCTGACCTTGCGCAGGAAGAATGCTGGTCCAAGTCTCTCCTCACACAGGATGCCCCCAAGAATGAATCAATGTCCTCGCCACAGGAGTGTGTCGCTAGGGCAAGGCAGCACCTGGGAGGCCAGCAGGGAGCTCATAGTCCAACGCACCCCCTCAGTCACTGCAGGACCCTAAAAGGAAAGGTCTGAGCCCATTCCTGTGAAACTTTGTGGTGGTGGCTAATTGTCTTCTCTAGCAAAAAGCCGTGGGTTGGGTGAGGGGAAGGGAGAAAGAGTCTAGATGGAGGAAGTCCGACCTCCTGTCGCCTCCAACCACTGACCGGAGCATCCACCCCAGGAATGATGGGCCTAGAGTCACGCAGATCACCTAGGACGGACGCCCTGTGGCTCCTGCATTCTGGACTGGAGTTGGGGGGAATGTCTTGGGGGGGGGATCTAGCAAGATGAACCTGAGGAGCTGAGGCCCCTTGGGAGGGCAAAGGCACCAGTGGGTAGAGAGGCAATGTTGGCACCTGCCATCTGGCCTTGGTCTATGGGCAGAGCACTGGGAGGGTGGTGAGAGCTCGTGCCTGGCTGCAACACTCTCCATTCACTGGCAGCAGTAATCTCTAGTTTGCTTTTGCAAAAGTCTCTCCAGCAGCTTAGGCCTACCAAGCCAGATAACGCATGAGCTAAATTGACCTATCTTCTCCTGTTCTGAGCCTCTGGGCTTAATCTTGCTGATGCCATTCTCCTTCAGTTCTGCCTCACACAGCCTCTTACAGGGAGTCTCCTGTAGGTCAGGCACTTCCTTCAGACCCTCATCCGATCTCTGCTCGTGGTGTCTGTTTTTTCTTTTCATCTGAAATTTCTGCTTACAGAGACGCTATGGCTGGTGGTGTCTTGGTCTGCCATCTTGTCCCAATAAGTCACAAAGCTCGTGTACAGTAAGTTCACTTTGCAAAAGTCCATGCTCCAATTTTCATTACCATTACTTTGAAAAAGAATTCTGGCAGGGGGTAAAGTAGGGAACTGAGAGAATAGGGCAGGAGGAAGCAAAATAGAAGAGGAACACAGGAGCCAATGGTAGTAGGGACAAGTTCAGGAGAGAAGAGGAAATGCAGGGGTGCTGTGGAGACGCAGCGCACGACTGTAGACAGCCTCCTGGACTTGGAGTTGATCTTCACGACACTGTAAGTTAACTCTTCCTTTAATCTTCAATGCTTTAGATATTTATTCTGGAAATTAACTTCTTTCTCATTCCTATCGCTAATTTCGACAAAGATTTGGGTGTCTTAGGCCCTGTCTCTGATTCTTGGAAAAGAAGTGATGGTATAAGATGATGGTATAATTTTATAAAATTCCTGTGAAGCCATTTGTAAAGGGAGAAATTCTACTTTTCCCCTTTTTTGGTTTGAACTGATACTCAATATAATTTATCTAAAAATGATCTGAATTTTTCAGTTCTGATAGAAAATGTAAACCTTACTAGAAATAGTCTTTTCTTTTTTTATCTAATATGTAAATCATTTAGGGAATAGAAAGTGGCTAAAACAATAAAGATTTCCAGAAATTGGCATAAAGTGTTAAAATGGGAAAATAAAAGAATGTTCCTGACAGAATACTTGTTTTCTACAGATTGGTTTGCTGTTATTAAATAAGATGTTGACTCCTGAGTGAATTCTGAAAATCTGCAAACTTCTGAATAAGGAAGACAAGGATTTCAGAAGATTCAAACTCTATGGGCTTTCATTTAACTTTTCTTTTCATTTACTTTCTTTATTTCTCATTTGAGAATCCATTAAGCGGGTAGGATCCACCCATTCATTCCAGTTTGAAAACTAGACGCTTGGGTTCATGTTTAAAACTTTTTCAACATCTCATGGCTTTTCAGGGACTGAATATATATGGAATTTTAATTCAGGGCTGAATATAATACAAGCATTGTACTTAAAGTTTAGGTATTCATTAAAATGTTAAAGGAAAGACATATTAAGAGTTGAGTCAGATTTATATGCCAAATAATGAGGTGAGGCATTTATCAATCAAAAGTAAAATTTAAACCTCAAAAAAACGAGGGAAGGATTTGAGAGACGGAACAAAGTGTTCTTAGATTGCGTACTGTCATTCATCTCTTTTAACGTGCATGTCTGCTCCTTTCTCCTTTAAAACGTTCAGCCCCTTAAAATGTCGTAATTTTACTTAAACTAACTTCAGTAAAGTCAATGTGATACTTATTCAACAGATATTGAACTCTCCAATTATTCAGCCAGCCATTATTTTAAGACAGCAACAATGAAACAGATCAAAAAT